CTTTTTCAATGGTAGTTTATTAAAATAGCATAGTTTTGAGACTTTTTTTCCTTCTAATTTTTTGGAGGTCTAGTTGGAAAACACTTTTCCTGTATCTATGTATATATGAGGTTAGTACTTATCTATTTTATCTTTTAAAAATTATAACGAAAATTATTTTAAAATTATATCATTTTAATAAAATATCATGAGAAAATACCAACATATAAGTGAAATATAGTACTAAAATAGGATATTTTAATGATTTTCAATGAGAGTTTATTGAAACGATGTTATTTTGAAATAATTTTCTTTCTAATATGTAGGAAGTAAGGCATATGGGTACTTTTCCTTTTATATATATAATAGCATATATTGGTCTCAACTCTAAAAAAAAAAAAAAAAAAAAAAAAAGGATTTCTCAACTTTTAAAACACCACCCTCTAATGAATACTCTTAAAAACCAATTAGATTTAGTGTTCTATTAAAGTAGATCATTTATCTCAATTTTCAGATTGATTGAATAAATACAACTAGCTCATTATTATAGAAAATTTATCACCGTTAAATATATATTAGAAAATATAAGTTTTTTAATCAAATGATTATAGATATTAAATAAACTTGAAATTTGACATATATGACCTATATTAATAGAACATTAAATATAATGGTTAATTTTTAAAAATATTTATTAAAGAGTGGTATTTTTAAATTAAAATTAATTTTTTTATGAGAGTACAGACTGATATTTATTTTTCTATAAATATATGGAATAGCTACTCCGGCCCATGTAGTAGACAAAGAGCAAATTGACTACCATTTGAATCAATACATATAGGAAACGAAAACATACCTTGTCTGTTGAACATTTCAAATCTACTTGCACTTATATCGTTGTTAGAGGGAGACGGTAGCTCCGCAACACTTAGACCTCCAATAACAAACGAATGAAATTAATCTTTTGTAACTTTTCAGGTAAAAAAAGAGCAAAAAGCAGAATAGAAACTCTAATTTTTTTTAATCTTGTCCCAAGTCTAAACTCTTGAGATAATATATGGACAGAAAATGAGTAATTTATAAAACGAAAATAATAAAAAGATCGGAAAGCCATTGTGTCCGAGCTTGTGATCTTACGGTGCTTGTATAAACAGCATTTTTCAGCTGTTTGGTAAGGTTTCTGCAA